AATTTGTGGCAGGCGCAGCACTTTGTGAACCTCGAGGTGCAGATTTCTTGGCAGGCACAGCGCTTTGTGAACATCCATGTGTAGATTTTTCGTGGCAGGCACATCACTGGTGAACCTCCATGTGCAGAGTTCGTGGCAGGCACAGCACTTTGTGAACCTCCATGTGCAGATTTCGCGGCAGGCGCAGCACTTTGTCAACCTCCATGCGCAGAGTTCGTGGCAGGCACAGCACTTTGTGAACCTCCATGTGCAGGCTGAGAACTGGTGACTTTGTAGTATATACAACTTTAGTACGCGGAGCAGGCTGGGGAGCTGGAGGCTGAGAACTGGCGACTTTGTTGTACAACTTTCGTACGCGGAGTAATCTGGCGAGGCGGAGGCCGAGAACTGGCGACTTTATAGTACAACTGTAGTACGCGGAGGAACCTTGAGAGCTGGAAGCTGAGAACTGGCGACTTAGTAGTGCAACTTTCGTGCGCGGAGCAATCTGTGGAGCTGGAAGCTGAGAACTGGCGACTTTGTAGTAGAACTTTAGTACGGGAGCTGGTAGCTGAGAACTGGCGACTTTGTAGTACAACTTTAGTACGTGGAGCAATCTGTGGAGCTGGAAGCTGAGAACTGGCGACTTTGTAGTGCAACTCTAGTACGCGGAGTATCTGGCGAGCTGGAAGATGAGAACTGGCGACTTGGTAGTACAACTTTAGTACGCGGCCGAGTCATCTCTCGCGGCTGCTCTGGCGCCCCTGCAGCTGAGTCATGTCTCCCGACCACCCGGCTCTCTTGAGGTTGACAAATTTTAGCTGCTTTGCCTACTCAAAAGTGGTCATTTCCATTACTTTCTGGAGACCTCAAAACATGTGTTTTGAGAGGTTGACAAATTTGAGCTAATTAGCTTCGAGTCTAGACAAGCTATCACATGATAGTTAACGTCTAGCTCCAGTTTAGTGGAGCTAGAGCTAGAGCTATGCTTCACTCATCACTCATCACCCATGCGTCTGACTGAGGGACACGAGGGAGACGCATGGTGGAAAGAACCGAGACACTCCTATAGGTCAATTTGTTCTCATAGGAAACATCCGCCGCCGGCTTGCCGGGGAACTGCTTGTAGGATGGCCTCCAACCTACTGTAGTAGTAGCTTCTTGTTACTAGACATGGTGTAGACATGGTAGAGGGCGCAACGAATCCCATGTAGTGTTTTTGGGGCCCTATGTAATCCAATGCACGAAAACTGTGCCATTTGCTTTCACCCTGGGCCCTCGAGTTGTAGGGTGTTGGGCCATCTACCCTGAAACCACGGCATATATGGAGACTTAGACCGTGTTGCACTTTAGCCGTCAATGCGTCACTCGTATGCAGCTGTTTCACGGACTTTCGGGGCGCCCGAGGGGTCCTGGCACCATGACCAATCATAGCCGCTCGCTTGAGTAAACGCTTGCTTTTTTAGCGGCCTAAGAGTGAAAGGGGGTGTCCGTTCGCTGGAAAAGAGCCCCAAACAGCTGAGTCAGCCAGTTTTGTAAGCTGAGGTCAGCTAGTCTTGGATTGCATCAGTTTTTGCAGCCTTAGCCTGCTTCGGCCAGCGAACAGGTCGGGACGCACCAAAAGCGGAACTGTCAATGTGGCCTCAAGGGCCACACGTCTTGCGGAGAAATTCTCAGCTCAAAGACTTGATGTGAAAAAAAGGGTCAGACATCCGCAGATGCCGTAAGCCGCTCAAGGGAAGCTTTGGTTAACAAGATTGTCCTGTCACCTAGTCCAAGACTTGTTCATTCGAGGATGTTAGAGGTGCCTCGTTGATCTTCACTATCGGCTGTTAGTAAAATGTCCGATGAAAGCTTGGCATTCAAAGCTCACACAACAAACACTCAGCTGACTTCAAAGTCGCCTCAATCATTCAGGGCGTATTAGGAGGCCTTTGCAAAGCTTTTGAGGCTGCATGTGTGAAATAACATTACATGTCATGTGGGTGTTTTTCTCAGACCTTCGGTTTGTTTGCCGCCGCAGCTTTGGCTTAGATGCATGGAAGCCCAGAATCAAAAGATGCGGGCCCATGCAGAGAACATGACGTCGAATACCGCAAGCTTCAATACTTTGTCAGTTCAATTGGGGAATGGAGAACCTTAAGTGCTTCCAACACCTTCCAACAGTGTGAGCAATGCAAATGGTGTGGTGCTAGCCAGACATACACCAAGGATTGGGACCCGGCAAGGTACACAATCCCCCACAATTCAAGAGCCGTCTCGCTGAACAACTGCTTCACACACAAAAAGTCAATAGAGGTGTAGTCCCATGGCTGAAAATTGACCAATAACCGCCAGCGACAGCACCCATGGCCAAGCGACTGCCGCTCTATGAGCTTCTCGCTTGTAAGTTGAGATGTCCGGGTTGGCTATTTCTGGACTTTTTCATGTGGTGTCAACATATCCTAATCAATTCACTACCGGCATTTATTAGCAAGGTATTGCTGGTGGATGCTGGTGGTTTGGTGTAGAAAGCCGACAGTTCTTCACATTTCACGAACAGTTGCAGCAAGTTTGTGCTTGTGTCATCCAAGCATGCGTTGGTCCTAGTTTGAAAGGCAATTGGCCGTTTCTGATGTCCATTTTTTTTGTTGCAATGTCCTTGTTGCAATCTTAATCTATGTGAACGTACAGTATGATCCTGTACTACATGACTTTATTTAACTACAGTATAATATACTGGTAGCTTCAATGAACGGCTTTAGGAAACCAGGAAGACCAACGTCAACCGACCAACCAGGATCCAAATAAACCTGTTTTTGCACAGAAACATCGAAACATCCTGGAGCTCCCAGCTTGAAGAAAGAAGCCATTTTGCATTGGCATGCAAACTGTATAGTAAAAGCAGCTCTGAAATGGTGACCTCGCCTTGGCGCGCAAAACAACGACTGTGTGACGATGTATATAATATAATTGTTCTCAAAGCCACAAATATGTGCAACAAGATGCAACACTGACAACCGCTTTATTGACGATGTTCGTGAGCTGGGAGACAGGCACGGGCTAATGCATGTGCTTGTACACATGTGCCATGCAGAATATGCATGCATACGATAGGGGCTTTATGAGCAGCACTGGTTTACCATTGCACTGGTCTGGTTCCCAGCATTGAGTCTACCCGGACAGCAGCTACGACGAGCATACCCCTCATGACCTGAAGAGGCACGCCGCTCAAGCGCTGAATATCATGAGTCTCTACAGTCTACTTGTAAAAAAAAAACTATGTGGACCATGTGGACGTCTATTTTAATTCGTGGCTGACCATCAAGCGGCTGCTTGGTGCGCCAAGCCAAAGTCAAAGATAAAAACACATTTTAGCTGCAACACCATACGTACAAAACCTTCCCCAATCTTCTTCAAAAGGCTTTCTTGGGCTTTGGAGGTTTGTTTCCTCAATTCAATTGCAGAGCAGCTAAGCATAATTATGCTCAAATTGGGTTGTTCCGAGTCTAGTCTAAGGTGTTTTGTTGAGCAAATGTGTGGGTTGGTTTCTGGATTGTTTGTGCTTGTTTGGGAGTTTTGGATGCTTGTTGAGCTTCGTTCGTTTGGTAGAGTGATTTATGGTTTTATGTTGGGACCCTTGGCCCCGACGAGATGACCCGTGGATCGCCTACTGAGGGTGCTCGGGGCGCAGCGGCCGGGAGCCTTGGATTCACGTGGAATGAGCGGCTTCAGTAGACCATAGTAGACCAAAAGTAACCTTTTGTCGGCTTTGTTGTGACCTTTTGTGCCCTTAGAAAAGCATTTGTGTCTGCATGCTGCTTCGTTTCTTCCTTACTTCTCTTCTTGAATGTTGCACAGGCATCACCTTTGTCACCTCCGTTTCGGCTCTTCCGCAATGGGGACGAGGGATGAGCCATGGCGGAGGGAGAAACCGTGCCCGGTGAAGAGGACACGCAGCAACGCCAAACCGTCTGGTGGGGCTTCCTTGTGACCATCCGGTGGCCCGAGTAGTAGCTGCACTCTTCCCAAAGAGTAGAGTACCAACAGAAGTGGATATCACACAGCTGCCTCCCAGATGAGTATCTTGTAATGAGTGGATCCTTTCTTTAGTAGCTTTTGCCAAAAGCGACCTCTTTCTGTCCATGAGCTGAAATCTAGGAAAGCTTCACCACCTCGGTTGGTAGAGGTTCCCCACCCATGGGTTCCTAGGAACCACCTCCCCAGCATGGCATATCCACCCCGATCTGCCTTGGACGAACACGGCGTTCGTCCAGTTTCAGGACTTCATCGACCCCGATGAGATCGAGGCAAACCCGCCACCGGAGGCGTGGGGGTATTTCTTTCAGGTCCGAAAGCTAACATAGTACCGAATGCTCTCACAACCCTCTTACTGTTGTCAAAATCTCCAGGAAATGCGAAGGAAGAGGAATTGAAGGAAGGTTTCGACCTTCCTTTGTGCTATGTGGAGCCATGTGGGACCATGTCGGAATGTGGGGTGTCAGGCTTTGTGAGGGATAATTTTGTTCAACTCAAGTTTGATATGGAACGGTTTCTTCAATTGTCTTCCGGCGCTGCTGCGAAATCTCTGGTTATTATATAGTTTAATTAGTCTTATTATCTATTTTTTTGTTGTTGCACAGTTGGTGCTTTAGCTTCGGATCCCAACTTCCACGGTGTGTTCTCACCTGGAGCTTTTCTTTGCCGAGCCCGCATCCAGTGCAACTTCGGTCTCAGGCCGTCGACCTGAAGTTGCACTTTCAATCTGGTGAGTGGCCCATTTCTCGTCCGCGCATTTCTTGGGGTTTGATGACAGAACTGAGTTTTGGAGCTGGTTTTGACGTCTTTCCCGTTTGGCCACTGATGCTGCCCGCTTTTCACGGATGCTTCGGTGATGTCCCCAGGTGACCAAGCTGGGCTTTGGGCCGGTTTCGATGATCGAGGAGTTCCTCACCTCAATGCCAAGGCCTGGGATGACAAGCATTCGGCCAAGGGAACGTAGTGTAGGCTCTTGATTAATCACCTCCCCGCATTTGAAGTGAAAAACCTCTTCATATAAATTTGGGGGGTGATTCATTTGGGGGGGTTATATATTCATCAAGAGTCTACATTAGGTCATTGTTGAGGTATAGGCTTGTTAGCACCGACATTGGCAGTATGTTGCAATCACTCTTAGACCATCTTAGACCCATGCACAACCAGCTGTAGATGTTTGAGTAGTTTCGAACATCGATAGGGACGACTTGGCTTTTGCTGTGCCGTGCCCCGCAGAGATGAGTTGATGCTCTTTGTCAACCAGGTTAATTCTTCCATGTTTGTGTGCGTGTGTGTCTGTTTGTGCGTGTGTGTCGCAACATGACAGTGGAGGGTGGGGTTGCACATTGAGTGGCTTGTGAAAAGCCATGAGCCTGTCCCTGCAGACCTAGCCCGCAGGGGAAGAAGCTCACCAGAAAGGAGAAGGAGAGGCCTTGGCTTGAGTGAGGTCAACTTGAAAACCTGCCTTTGATCAACAAAGAAGGTGCATTTTGCCCAAGCCGTGGAATCCCAAGCCAACATCATCAAGGAAACTAAGAAATAGCTGTGTCGGCTCTGGTTACAGACCATATCACGGTTCTTGGCGAGGCCATTGCCCCCACACGCACCTGGCACACCCAGGAGCTGGTGGAAACTGAGTACATGGCAGCGAAGAAGAAATGTCAGCAACAGCTGAAGGTGGGGGGTGTAATTACATCTCAATGGCTTCTGTTGATGGACTATGCATGACACCCTTCACCAAACACTCGAGGGTGGAGTGCGACGAGCCAGAAGACCACGTCGCCCAGGCCTGGGATGACTGGGAACATCAAGTGTCTCAAGCCGAAAGGGCGCTGGCCGGCAGAGATCGCATCCGCTGGGCATATCGGTGCCATGGCCCAAACAACTAGGGAATGACTGGAATGTTGGCGCTCGTGGTATGGACAATGGACAGCCTTCCCAGATTGCTGATGAAGAATTACTAGATTCCCACTTCTCAGATGGTAAGCTTGATTCCCTGCAACAAGTAAGAGTAGCTCTGAATCGATGTGACGTGTGGCAAATTTGGATCAGAACCATTCAATTCAAGCCACGTCAGAGAACGGATGCCCTTCTGACCTTTTCGCTAACCACGGTGGCCGAATCAGACTGAGTGATCTTGTTGACGGACACAGGGACAAGCCAGTGGCCTTTGGTCTTTGCACCTGAGAGACCCAAGGGCTGTGGGAAACAAGATTGGAAACAAGCATGAAATCTTACAGCCCGAAGATCTGAAGGCGGGCTGCTCGGGCCGGGGGGGGACGGGTGCATGTTTATACATTTGCTGCAGGGCAAGTGAGGTGAGGTTGCCAAAAAAGAAAGGCGAGACGAGGGGGTGTAGGAATGACCCCAGCCAAAGCAACATGATAGAAAGCCCGTGGCCGAAAAGAGCCCGGGCATGCCGAAGCGCGTTCAGGGCTTTGCCAAGAAGATGGGCTGGGACGCGCTGGGAAAGGAGGACCACGGCAGCTTTGAGAAGGCTGTGGCACCTCGGAGGCCTTGGCGAGGAGGGCGTAGCTGCTCCGTGCGAAGCTGGCTGATGGGTGAGATGATTGAGCTGCAGCTTAACAGTACCAGGAGTCGTGCAGCTATCAAGAGATGGACAAGCCTTAAAAACATAATTAAACTAAAGCCTCCAAAGCCCTTTGCTTGGCTTGGACCTTCGCGGCATGAATATCTCTCTCTCTATATATATATATATATATGTATTATATATGTATTATGTATGTATATTAAGTTTAAATATAAACGGAGCATTACACACATATTAACTCCGGCAAGCCTTCAAACTCAGATCAAGTCCATGACAGCGGTTTGCGTGCCGATGTCATGAACCGGAATCACGCGAAACGGCATCCAACGTTTTGTGCCCTAATTGCGGTTGGACAGTGTAGTGCTCATACGGCTTCCAATGTTTACAACAAAAAGGTTCTCAAGATCACTGGTCAAAACCCCATGCCCTTCCAGTTGTTGCCACGGTCTCAGGAGGGTGACTGATAACATGATAACATCAAATGCTTGGGGCTTTCTTGTATGCAGTTATGTGCGGGGCTCATCAGGGGCCAGTGATAACTAAAACGAGAATGAAAAGGAAGGCGGGGGTAGATGAGACCGAGATAAAGTTGATGAATCAATTGAAAGACAGCATGTCAAGGCATCTCACTGGAACAAAATGAACCACTTCAAAGGTCATCGTATCTCGACGTGAACTCCCAGATGGAAAACTAAGTAGTGGTGTTGTGATTTTTTGTATTTTGGCATAGATGGATGCTCCCAAATGCTCAATAGAGTCCACGATCTAGGTCCAACGATTCAAAGCAACGGGCAATTTGGAGGACCAAGTGCTGTAGCTGCCACAAACTGGGAGCATTTGAGCAGTTTGCCCCTCAAAAAGAAGCATTCGCAACCAACCCCTCGGTTGCGGCTGTGCAACACGACCGATTAAGTACATACGGCCGGCTTTACCCTGCCAAACCAATGGATTCCCTGGTTGCTCCTCACGTTTGCCACGAATCGGGGTGTTTCACGGACACCTATCGCCGTCAGGTAACGGTCTTAGGTGATGGCAGAGAGCAAGTGCACTTGGAAGATATACGGAGCTACATCGCGGGCGAGATGCCGCAACATTTTCTCCAGCATCGTATGGACCACTTCTTCCGCACCTTAGGCAAAGAGTGGAGCCGCATGATGGACTGCGTCCCTAATGTCGTACCTGCAGAGGCAAGCAGGTTTGCGAGGTGTTCTTTGAGCTGGCTTACTTTGGCACACCACAAACCGAAGGTTCGATACGAGCATGTTGAAGATTGAACCGTCATTGTGCTGACAGGAGAAATCATACAGACACCTCGGTTGAGCATTGGTAGTGATCTGCCATGACTTCATGATTTGTCCTTTCCAAGGCCTTGCCTCTACCTTTGTTCATCTCAAATGTCGTACTTTCTATGTTTCATCACAGGGCACATTCTCTCAAGTACAGCATTCACGCTGTAGTCCGGTACAGCCACGTTTCAAGGCATGCAGCCACATTTCAATGTATTTTTGACGTTGGTCCTTTATTCGCGGCAGGGCGCTACAGTCCTGAAAAAAGAATAACACCTTGTTGGCATGGTGCATGTGTTTTTTCATGGTTTATCACAAAATGCGGCGTATGCCCCACAACACAGGGTTGTCCATGCCTCATGAAATGGAGGTAGCCACAAAACGGGCGATGGGTTTCCCACCCAATTTGGACAAACGTATTGTAGTATTATGATGTATTATGCCACGAGCATGTATCTTCAGAAATAGAAGCCGCTAGTAGGTTGGAGGCGCTTGTTGGTTGGAGGCCATCGCTTTTTGGTGGGAGGCCAACAGCATTCTTCTTCAGATGGGCGTTCCAGACTCACCAGGTAAGCGTGGAGTTGAGACTATCCATTCTCCTCGCACCTGGAGGCAGAAGCTAGATCAGCTGGAGGAGTGTATCTATGTGTATCTTGTATGTTTTGAGATATGTACGTTGACCAGACTAGTTTGACAACGGGATCATAGATCATTGTCCATTTTGGTTTCTTCGCAACTACCAGACTTTGTTTGAGCGTGTGTTTATAGAAGTGCACTCTCTACAGGCACTGGCACCCACGCATGGGATATCCTACGAACACATATTGCAAGTGCATGTGCACGTATTCATGTTTCTATTGTTCATGCATATTTTATATACACAATTAATCACAATTAATTATGCACATATTCAAAGGCTTGAATCCCAAACCAACCTCCCAAACCAGATGAACTCGTGCGCGTTTGGACTCCAGAGCGGCGAGGAGTCCGAGCACAGCGACGCCCACGAGTCCGAGTCCAGTTCCAACTCCTGAAAGCCAGGTGCGAAGCGGAGCGCATGTTTGGTCGATGCATTCGCTCGAAACCTTCCATTCGAGCCCGTGCGGGTGTTGGGTGTTTTGGCAAGTATTGGCCACTTTAAAAGAAAAAAGAACCATGTCGAGACGAAACGGAACAAACAACACTAAAAGACACAGTAAGAACTGTACAGAAGGGGTTGAAGAAATGCCATGCATCATCATGTATGATGCATCCATGAAATCTCAAAGCTGAAGACCTTGTCAGGCTTGGGCTTGCTGTCAGTAGATCTGCAACGTTCTGCGATTGTCGGCGTTTGGTGCCACATTTGGAAGGAGTTTCGGGTGCCTTTGTGCAGCTTATGCAAGTGAACAATTTGTCCTTTGGATAGTTTTTTTTTGATTGCGTGAGGCATGAGGGTGTTGTTGACTTGTGTATTCGACTCCGTGCCGGTACCTACAACCTGGCCTCACGGGCTTTATTCAAAGGAAGACATCCCACAGCAGCACTGGAAATCAAAAGCGCACACCATTGAAATCCATTGAATCTGCGGCAGTTCATGACGGCATCGAGCTGTTGAGAGCTGCAGTCATGTCAATGTAGCTTACACCTGTGACATGCTAGCTGGTCCATCAGCCCCATCCTCAGTCGTCTCTCTCCATGATGCCTCAGCAACGGTGAGGACGATGCCAGAGCCACCAACGATGCCGGGCGCACCAGCAGACGGTTGGAGGATGATGGATGCAATGGTTGAAGCGCACCGGCGGAAAGATGAGATCGTGGAGGAAGAAATGAGAACCGAGAAGTACGCCCCCAATTTGTGGCCTGCGTGCAGCGTCTCACCCAATTAAGAGTGATCCAGCATCATTCACCCGGCTGCGTTCATTGGTGGCACTCTTCGCTGGCCTGGTTGAAACTGGACATAGACCCTAGGTGAGCAAAGAGCCGGCACATCCAGCAGGAAGAAAAGCGCTGATGCGAATCCGTTGGTTCATGTTTCTTCCACCTCCACGGACAATGGTTGTCCAAGACTGTTCGGGGGGGACAAGACTTAAACATGTTGGTGAAATTATCGGAGCCCCAACAATTTCAGCTGACAGTGACATCTACGTACCTGGAACTTCCAAGGAGTGCCCAATGGAGATCCATAAGTTGTGCAGTGTAGAGTAGTCCATTGGGCACCCCTTGAATGGTCACTGGTGAGATTTAGAACATTGAAGTATATTGAAGTGCCATCCAGCTGCAAACTCCTAATGCCATCAAGCATGCATTTGGCATCGCATGGTGAAGCGCACACGATTTTTAGGCAGAGAACCTTTTGGTGGTCGAAGCAGACGATCCGACTCTTCTTGAGGTGGGAGTGGGCGAGGACCAGACCCAAGATACCCAAGGCGGTTCTCAATCACTTTTGTTTGGCATTCCTGTAGGCATCTTACAGTAGTTGCAGATGCTTTCAGAGTAGGAGGAGATGTCCTTTAGATGGGGGCCCATATAATACAGTACCCCTTTTGGGATTTTGCAATCTACTCGGAAACCACTGTAACTGTAATAGTTGTGGTCCAGGAGAAAAAGGCGCTTTGTCACTTGCTGCAGCCCCGAATGACGAGCGTCATATGACATCGTTCATTTCCCAGTGGCTTGTGTGAGTGATTGAACTTGACCCACCTGCAGGCGGCTCTCATGAAGCAAGAAATCAAAGAAGAGCTTTGTCAGGAGAGCGAAGGATTCGTGGATAGTGGTTGTGGGGGGGTCCAAAGTGGCTCAGAATCGAAAACAAAAGAGTGGACCATTTAGAGAATCTATGGAATGAATTTGGTTTGGGGTGTTGTGGTTGCACGCCTGCAAGGCCAAGCCCGTTCTGGTTTCGGCAAAACGGGTGACATGCTTAATGTTGTAGTCACTAGTGCCGAGTCCACCCCACCTTCCAGCACGCAACCCCACAGACAGGATGGCAGCGAACATGAATGGCTGCCCGGAAGCATTCTGACGAAGCTTCTGCCGTGTCTCACGGCACACTAATGTTTTTTACAACACCTGGGAAAGTTGCATTTGGCTTCAAGTAACATTACCATTTGATATCTAAAAGTTGCATGTTTCTCCTTATGTTTGCAGTAGACTTCAAAGATCGACTCTCCGCACGGCCATGCACATAGAATGGTCCAACTGACTGCAATCCTGAGAAGTGTCCAGTTGGCAAGTTGAGCTTGGAAACCCATGGCCACACGGCATCACACCGCCACAATGCTGGCATCCACTCCTTGCTGGAACAGTTCCTCCCATCGCTGCAGTCTCGGATTCCACGGTCGCACGGCGTGCGGTCGCTGAGACGGGCTCAGAGCGAAACACGTCTCCCCCGTCGCCCAGGGTGCCCTTGAGCGACGAGGCCGGAAACTGTGCTTTGAGTGTTGGAAACTGTTGGGTGTCGTGTCACAGCCTGAAATGGGGAGTACGGTTTGGGCAATGACGTGCCGTTTTCTGGTCAGTGATGGTGAGGTGTAAGTAGCTTCCAAAGGATGGTGCATTGATGATGAGATGTGTTGGTCAGGAGCTGGCATAGCATGTCGTGATTGGTTTTGAACCCCTGCATTTGAGATGACCGCGTTCTCATTTGCAGGTGAACTGGGATGTATTGATGGCTCCCTCCGAGCCCAATGGCACAGAGTGGGCATGGGTTCCACAAGCCCCAAGAGAGATCGAGTCTCGGGGCAAAAAGCAAAGCTGTATGTTGTCTAAAGTGTTGTCTGCTTAACTTGAACTTGGGCTGGATGTGCATTGTTCGCATGCACGCTCTCTTTGCAAGATTTATTTGACATCAGAATAAGTCATATATACATAGCACAGTTTCCAAAATCGTGAGAGGAGAGAGAGGGGGGGAACAAGTGTCCAAAATCACAGCGAGTGGGTTGGATGCTCAAAAAGATCCTCCGTCCTCGCAGAATGGTCAGCCAAGGACAGTGATGACGAAGGGCTGGTTTTGTGGGAGGCGCAGGGGCTTGTGGGTTGGTTGAGGAAACGAGAATCTCCCCTGCATCGTCCGGTGAAGATGTGTCCACAAGAGATTGTGACGAGTGGAGCTTGTCCAATATGTTGCCGCATGTGTCAGCTCCATCCTGTCACATGTGTTCAAACCCCAAGCCCAAGCATGGACGGACGGCCTTTGACATGTTTTGGAGGGCCTGCCTAATGTTCCTTTCTTCCAGGCGCCAGATCCAAATGGACTCAAAGAGGCTTGGATGGATATTTGTGGATCAATCCCTGGCATGAAAAAGCAAGAACTGTCAGCAGTGCCGCCAGCCAAGCCAGTTGCCAAGACATTGCCCAGAAATGCCCAAGCGCGGCCTGCCGAGCCCTTGACAGAGAAGGGAACAGCAAGAAGTTCGGGCTTGCTTATGGCCAAGATGGAGGTGGCTGAGGCAGGGAGATTCTTTTCCAAAAGTCACATGAAGCCACAAGGTTCCAGTTTTGATGAAATGATGCGTTGTCCTAATCAGGGTAGTTTTACTGGTCTATACGAGTGCATTTCATCCAATAGTAATAGACTTTGATTTGGAGCATTCTTTGTAAAACAATATTCCCTGATACCTGTTTATATATCCAATGCATGTCCTTGGATGTCAACCTGTGAACACTTCAAGACCCGGCAAGACGATACAGTGTCCATGAGGGAAGGGCTGGAAAAGTACATATGATCTATAAATGATCATATAGGGTGTTCTAATGTTCTATGTTTAAATGGGTATACACCTTAAAAAAAAAACTACAATAACTATCTTGAAAACAACTCAACTTAAGTGTTTTTACATGTTTTCACCATTCAGGCTGCCCAGAGGGAGGAAAGCAAGGATCGCCCGCCTGGAGCTTGATTTGCACCTCCTATTATTGCAATCCTTTTCTTCAGAAGCTCCTGGTTGAGCTTTGGCACTCAAACCCCAATCAAAACACAATGAGCTCGCTGCTTTTCATGGTGCCTAGAATGGTCGACGCTGTTTGCAGTTGAGTTGCTGAGATTCACTCCTGTACTGAAAGGTCCTGCACACACAGCTTAAGTTGTATCACCTCATAAGTTCCTCAATTCCGTGTTGTCACCACTCCACGGTTCGAGTCAGATTTTGCCTCTCGAGGCAGCCCTTGCAACATGCATCGGCCAAGGAGGGAGACGAAGGGATCAGATGTTCTCAGTTGTCATGCATCGGTGGAAGGACCCTGATGAAACATGTGCCCTGAAACGAATCTTGGCACCCTACAGTTTTTCGCTGTGAGCTCATGCGATCCACATATTTCAGTTGGCATTCTTGTGACCCCTTCAATGCAGACATCGTCATGAGTCATGACTCATGACCATGCAATGAAGTGTTCAGATATGTTCAGATGATGTGATGCTGAGCCTATGTGAGACAATCTTGCTGGCCCAAGTCTGAGTCGCCATCATGGACTTCAAACAAAGTTATTTTTGCGTGTGGCCGACTAAAGTCCTGGAGTCGCTTCACATTTCTTGCATGTACTGAAATATACTTGAATGGCCACCAGGACTGCTCGCAATGGGCCCCACCTGATGCTAGCAAGCAGCTCAGAGAAGCTTAGCGTACTGTCACATCAATAGCAGCTGAGACCCTGAGTGGTTGTAGAAAACCGCCATGGCGACAATTTCAGCGATGCAGATGAATGGCGAAGAAATCGATCTTCAAGTGACGCCAGAGACGACCGGTAGAGAGATGAAGAAGCAGATCAAAGAAGCTCAGATCACCTGGGACGAGTTCACTCACAAAACGACCGCCGTGGAGATTGTTGTTGGAGACCGTCTACTGGGAAATGATGAGAAGGTGGCAGACGCCGGACTCACTGCAGATACTGGTGTGAGTTTAGTATTCAAAACCAACATCGTCAGATGTTCCGACAAAGGTGCCATCGCTCATTTGGGGAGTGACAACGACTTAGAACTTTTGTTGATTGCTGAAATCCCAAGCCATGAGACTCACATTTCTGACGGGGCCTTTGCAGATTGCAAGCAGTTGGCCGCATTGACCATCCCAAACTCAGTGACCCACATTGGGCGTCGTGCCTTTTGGAATTGCAGTTCTTTGGCAAGCGTGACCATCCCGAACTCGGTCACGCACATTGGGGACGGTGCATTCAAGATTTGCAGGTCTTTGGCAAGCTTGACCATCCAGGACTCAGTGACCCACATCGGGGAGGATGCCTTCGCGAACTGCGTCTCTTTGGTGAACGTGACCATGCCAGAATCTGTGACGTACATTGGAGATGATGCCTTTTGGAATTGCCGCTGTTTGTCAAGCTTGACCATCCCAAACTCAGTTGCCAACATTGGGAATGGTGCTTTTAGGGATTGCAGCTCTTTGGCGGCCTTAACCATACCAAACTCTGTGACCCGCATTGAAGATTTTTCTTTTTGGCGTTGCAGCTCCTTGAAGAGCTTGACCATCCCGGACTCAGTCACCCACATTGGGAAGAATGCCTTTGAGAGTTGCACCTCTTTGGCACACTTGACCATCCCGACCTCAGTGACCCACATTGGGGATCATGCCTTTATGAACTGCAGCGCTTTGGTGACCTTGACCATCCCAGACTCCGTGACCTACATAGGGGATTGTGCCTTTGAGAATTGTACCTCTTTGGCGAGTTCGACTATCCCGAACTCAGTGACCCACATTGGTCGTCGTGCCTTTTGGAATTGCAGCTCTTTGGCAAGCTTGATCATCCCGAAGTCTGTCATGGAGATTGGGGACGGTGCCTTTAAGATTTGCAGATCTTTGGCAAGCTTGACCATCCCTGACTCAGTGATCCATGTTGGGGAGGATGCCTTTGAGAAGTGCAGTTCTTTGGTGAAATTAACAAACTCCCTGACCTACATCAGTCTTTTTGGCTTTAGCACTTGCTCATTCTTGGTGCCAAGAGTGCCCACATCTCAAATTAGATCCATATTTTATTAAGAACTAGTTGCATCGCTGCATCGCATAGGATGCTGCATCGGATATGACCGTTCCATACCGTTCCTGCAAGAAATGGGAGTACAGCCGCAAGAATTGAAATTAATGAGGTAGCTTAAGCTTTCCAGTTGGGGTTCACTGGTTCTTCTTCGTTGGCGACTTGGCGACTTGGTTTGCTTTTTTTGGCCAGGCCAAGCGGCGGCCAAAGCGACCGGCCACTTGGCACAAATTGAAGGTTCCCAGATTGATTCATCCATGAAACACCTAACTACTGCACACCGTGCTGTTGGTGCGAATCGTGGTGCGAGAAGATGGGAGGCGGAGGCGAAGAAAACATGCATCGACTGCGGGGGCAGTTGCAGCCTAGCTGTAAATACCAGAACTCAGGTTTACCAACAACCTGGTGCCAAACCCAAGGCTCCCTGGGTGATTGGCGGTGATGTCGACCTGAGCAGCGGATGTTCAATTTGATATCAGATCACATGCATTTGACCTTGCATCACACACTGCAAGGACAAGACGACACTTGCTTTGTGGATAGAATCATATGGGTAGGGAAATGAGGTGAGAGGTTCAGAAGCTTTGCACCTTCAAGACGCAACCAAGCAGTGATACTGCCGCATTGAAGCAGCGAAGAGGCACAATTGACTCAGTTGCATTTTGACTCAGCTGTTTCGTGCTTTGGTGGCGTTTCGTCACCATTGATCCGCAGGCAGCACCTGAAGCCAAGAAGCTGGAGGCGGGAGGCAACGGGTAGCAGAGTAGCAGGTGCTGAAGGGTGCGCTCAGCACACCTATTGGAATTTGTTGTGTGAAGTGATCATGTTTAGAGATATTGTTGGAAATTGTCTCCAAAATTGATACTAAATTGTCACCAAACATGAAAGTGATTTGGTTTGGACACTGACTTTGTCAAATACTTCCTTCTTGCCAACTGCATCATCAGAGCCCGTCACAGCTGCTCGCACCGTGCGTTTTCGCTCAGGTGGCCAAGACTCCAATGACGCCCCCAAAGGACGGAGCTACTGGTCACTCCCCTCACCACCCGCCGAGGGGCTGTTAGAGGATGCAAACACAGGATACTAAGAACAGGGCTTGAACTGCCATGGGGTCAATGAGACCTATGTTGACACCATGTCAGCAGGTTGCTGCACACTTTTGGCATTTGGCATTCACCATTGGACCACACGGTCCGGTCGCAGCTTGGGTGCCGGAGGCATCAGTCCCGCCGCCGCCCAGAGAAATGACCTCACAGGAGAGGTTCTTTGCACTTTGAAAGAAAGAAAAGGGAAGAAAAGGAAGGTGTTTGGAGTCCAATCCTTTTTTGTTTGTGCGTTCTTCTTTTTTCGCTTGCGGTTTTGCCCATCCAACCCGCTTGCATCTTCCATCCCGTCGAGTCAAGCCGCTCATCCAGGGGAGTTTGGACCCACATGTGTTGTGAGTCGCTTGGCCTCTTGAACCACCTGTCAGGGCTCTATGGCGCCACGCACGCCTCCCAAGGACCGTGCGCTTCTGCGTTTTCACGCTCGTGCGCACCGATGGAAACCGATGGTGAGACCATCACCGTGCGCAGGCCAGCGTCTTGCCACCTCCACCGCCACCGGAACCGGTGATGGCCTCGGACGCCTCGTGCAGTGCCTGTGGCAGGATCAAGGTCCCCAGACTACTCAGCATGATGTTTCTTTTTTCTGTCCCACAGTGCCTCGCGGTGCAGGCCAATCTTTCAAGATCAGCTTCAGCACCAAAGGAGTGCCACACGAGTCAAGGGTGAGGATTCCTGGTAGGCCACACATGCCAGATGAACTGCTGTCATTGGAATTCACATGATTTCTTGACCTGACACCTTGTTGAAGGTCATGAGTCATTGTGTGCTTGCTTCACCTTCGTGTCCAACATCGTCCGAAGTTTGTAGACAGTCTTGTTGTGAAGAGGATTAGGCCAAGACGCAGAACATCTCAAAAAGCAAAGCCCAATGAACGCTGCATGAACGCCCATCGGTGTCCAGTTCTTTGGTGGTTTCTTTGCTGGCCCGTCCGGCCCCATGGAAAGCAGCAAGAGCGGCTCCGCCCCTGCTGTGCTCTCTGGAGCGGCTCAGCCCAGTCGCTTGGCCACCTTAGGCTATTGGGCCATTGCGCTGGGACATGGGTGGATTCTGTGGGTTCACGCTGTGGCCACTGGTGCTGAAGCGATGCTGTTCACCACTCTGGCAGTTGTGGAATGCGCGTTAGCCATGGAGGTGGGGAGCATGCGATGAGAGCCAAAACAAAAACAGCCATCAACAAAAGTACTGCACTAAGATTGTGTCGTGCTTCTTGAGGGACCCGATTCGGGCCCAGGGACGCATTCCACTCGTGAGGCTGCAGTCTATGCCATCGGCAGTTGGGGTCACCAATTTGGTTTGCCTTTGCTTACCCTGCTGGGGCGGGTGAGGTTGCTCGGTGCGGCGATGGCATGGCCATGGCTGTTGGTGTGGGCTTCTGAGCTGAGTTGTCGTTGTGGAACTGTCACACTGGAGACAGGACACTGGTGGCCTGGCAGCGAAACGGTAGTTGTTTGAAGTTTCCATCATCCACCACCGGGTGAGATGATACAAAAGATATTAATATATATTTCAGATGATTTCAGTGTCTCAAACCTAGGTTGAGGCAGTTGACCCTTGTCTTGGCCGGGCTCTTGACCGCCTTCTATCTTTGGGGCGAAATGCAGTTGGCGCTTTTTTGTGCTCCTCCAGCAACAGAGGACTCGGTCATGGGCTGCTTGCCGAGTCCGGTGCTCGGTAGCCAGTTTCGACTGGACAAGGCAGACCTGGAAGAGACTGGACGAGCTGTCTTCGTTCCGGCGCAACCGCGGAAAGCCCTCTATGCAGGACCAATGTTGACAGATGTCTGATAGAAAGCAGCGAGGTTCTTGTTGAAAGCAGTTGAAAAGGTCCAATGCAAGGTTCCTTTCATATCTAAACTAGAAAAGCGTCCATATGTGTCCATCACATGAACTTGGAGAAAAAACATACTGTTTATTAATGTATTTAATGGATTGTTTCCATCTATATACGTCTGGATATCAGGAGCTGGATTGGCTCTCATGGGACATTTGGCTTTTGGTGTGGCCTTTGCACACCAAGCCTTTCCGCCCTGGCTACTCTTCGGCTCCACGCTGGCCTTCCTCGGCCGATGGTTTGGCCAACTTCCACCCGCACCTCGGGATGGCAGTGGGGACTTGTCTCGGAACCATTTGAGACACGTTGAAACAACGGACCGAAACAACATCTATATACTTTTTTGGGGGTGACTTACTTGGTCTTAAGTCTTATATATATATATTCAATTGTATTCATATTCAGAAAGTTGGGTGCATTGGCGCAGTCTTCCAGATATGTTGTGCTCGATGGTGGGCTCCACGAGCCAGACCACCAAGTCAGGCCATATCTGTTTGCTGTATCCCGCAACGTGCCCAAATTTGCTATAGGATGCTATAGTAGGTGTGCTGCTGCTTTATGACATTGTATAGGGATGCATAGGGTATAGACTAGGGTATAGTAGTGGGATGTAGATGGATGTATATAGTGGTATAGTAAGTCGGGCGTTTCACGACTGCCCCGGTGTCCGCCGTTCCCAGGTGGCCAAGAAGGAGCGAGGCGTCGAAGCCGACTGTGTAAGCATTTGGCGACGAGAAGCTCCTCGATTGGCGTGCCGTGTTGGAGAGCTCCTGTGGATTTGGTCTTGTGTACCTTGAGCTGATGGGCTGATGGACAGCAGGTGGTGGGCTCCGCATGAGAATTTCATGTAAAGAGAGAGAGAGAGAATTAGATCGACATAACACTCAGGTCATGGAGCCAAGGAGCTTTCGGCTCCTAAAACAAGGTACCGCCGCCAATAGTGACCCTGTGCGATTTGCACAGTTCGGACATGTACACTTCTTGCAACCTCCCATTGTTACCATGTTTTCTTTTCTCACAGCTTGGATCATGTCTTGTTCTATCCCATTATTTACCAGAGACGAGACTGGTGAAATGGAATTTCCAGGGGCGAAAAGCCGCAAATGCACCAACTTTGTGCGCACACGCGTTTTGCCGGTCTCTTGGGTTTATAGTTTCGGAACTTTGCGGGCATCAAGACCGTGTGCTACTTCATACGAACGTTACCATCACCCCAC